ATCACTAGTACTACGATAATCTAATTTCTGAATTTGTCTTAAGTACGATTTCGAATTTGTTTTACCATCAAATAGCTCAAAGTCATGACTACCATCCCAAACAAATCTTACTTTTCTAACGTAAATTGTGGAAGAATGTGAAGTCATTTACTGAGATGCCAGCAAAAACACCAGTATCCATTTACTCCAGGATGCGATAAATGACAAATGCTGATGTAAGTGTTGGAAAAACTCGTGTAGCTACGTTTGGTGTGTAGATTTTGAAAAATACAAAAAATAGTTACGTAGAGAAACGATCGCTCGACATGATTTGTAAAGTAAAGTTTTTGATATCTTGAAAAATGAAAAATTAATAAGAACTAGAAGTCAAAAGTTGTAAAATTTGTCCTCATTTACCCCAGCCGACTCTATTTCGCAGTTATTTAATTCAATGAATAAACTTGATTTTACATGTTATTCACACAAATGAATCTGAGACTTAGATCAAACGTTGCCCAATAGTAGAGTGATCTACTATTAAAATATCAGGAAAATATCTCTTTGCAGAGGTGCAAGGCATGCAAAACACCAGAGCGTAGATGTTGAGGCTCCCATGGAAAGAAAAATCCTGCTTGAATACAGGTTTTCTCAACTAATTAATTTTTTCATTCAAGAAGATCGAAAAAAAGGAATTCATGTAAGCATGTACTTTTGTGATTGAGGTCATTGATTATTTTATTTCTTATAGTTGTTGTTTTTCTCGTATTTCTTTTCTTATTCTCTTCTTTAGTATTACAGGAAGACCGACAACTTTGAGATTATCGAATTTCACATAGATTTCCAACATTTTCGAATTGCAATTTCGTTTTCAATTTAGGAATTCGGTGAACAAAACAAAAGAATTTTAAAAGTTCCAAAATAAATCTAGAAATTGGACTTTTCCCTATCAGCACTGGTCGTTTAGGCTTGAATTTAAAAAAAATATAACTTCCACTCTCCTGGACAACATGCATTTGCTATGGTGCAAGTTCTACTGATTCACTATGTCGTATGCATTTTCAACTACATTCTGATGAAAAGCACGCATTACTATATCACTTCACATCATCAAGTTTAGTTCTGGAATCATATGATTCAATATTTTCGCAGTGACAGAAAAGATGAAATCGATCAAAAAAAAATAAATCGAAGTTTATTCAACATGCTCATGTGCAGAACAGACATTGTCCAATGGTATTGTTGCTTTTATTCGTAACAGAGTCGCGTCGGGTAAGACTTCTTCGTACCCTATGCTCTATCCTACCCCATGGATGTTATATCCTAAATCTATCCTGTCCCACGGTTTCTAAATCCTGTTAACCCTCGATATGAAGTTTTCTTTGCTTTTCAGTTCATTTCAATCGTTGCCAAAATATAGTAGGGTGCAATATTTTTTGAACAACTTTAGAACATAAAAGTAATTAGAGGCTTTCGATTTTCATCATTATAGTGATTAGACTATGAAAAATCGACTAGTATAAGAATCAACAGATTAGCTAAATCATTAAACGATCAATTCTTATTGAAAACTGACGATAGGACACTGAGACGATACGAAACATCAAGGTTTGTATTTTTCTCAATTTTCTACAACTTTTTTCGACGAAGTAATTTTTATCTTTCATTTTACGGGTCTAGAGTTTTGTCATTTAGGATGTCGGATCATTTGAAAACCATGACTGGATGCTTGTTCAGGTCATTCAATATGATGCTTCCTCAAGTTGTATATCACTATGTGCAACGTTTTTAACACGTTTTTATCAATATGTACACTGCGAAATGGTTAGTTTACAAGTTAGTCCGTCCGCCAAGGAGTATACCAGTTAACATCTCGCCGATATCATCTTTGGAATGACGAAAACTGCGCACTTCACTAGATGATTCCGTTCTCAAATTAATCAGTAAATGCATTGGAGTACATTATGAATTGATACTCACCGCAGTATACTTTTCTTGTTTCTCCAAACAATAAGCTGAACTAATTGATACATTTTTTTAAAAGCTTTGATAGACTTCATTTCATAGAGGTATCAAAGATCGGTTGGTAGATCAGTAAAGTTAAAGGGACTACCCTATTCTATGCTCCTGTCATCCTAACCCTACTCTATCCTATAGAGCAGAGAACTCTAGTTCATTACGGCACAAGCATAATTTTAAATCGAATATGCACAAGAGTATTAAAAGCAACGTAAAAAACGAGAAAAGTAATCAAATCAAGGTGATACTGTGTTCATAGTTTCCTGGAAAAACAATCAAGATGTCTCGTACACTTTAGAAAAAAGAAAGTAAATGCAATATCAAAAATCATAGTACACGAAGGGCCGATGTTCGAGGGATACACTTTTTATCATAGGTAAATGGTCGAGTTCCTGTTTTTTTTTTGTAATCCGACTCAAATTCGAAATATTGATAGATTTTCTCTATTATTTTGGTAATAGATATTATTTCTAATGCCTGATCTTTCGCTAGTCTATCTTGTCTTTTCGAAATTTCACCGAGTATTGTTTAATTCCTATCAGACGGTGGAATTTAACAGTCTAGTTTTTTTCACTGATTTTAGTGTTATTATATCTCCGATCATAGTTGAGAATTCACTCGTGAAATGATTGATTTTTTTTTCTAGATTTTATCATTACCAGTATTTATAGATACGAGCTAAGTATTGACGTACTCTCTTTCAATCGAATTATTTGAAAGTGTACGGACTTCATCACAAATAATTCTGAATCGAACTTACATTTTCGACAAAAACCAATGATGAAAAATGTTCTCAATAGCAAAGATTCACCTGTTGCTCTATTGAAAAACGATGATCGAATCATAGCCAATGAATACAAATCCGATGCAAAGGCACATGTTGGCTCGACTACATTTAAAGAAGGTATATCGAATCATTATTCGAATGTATTTTTTTCGTATTCATTTCAAAGATTCTAGGTCAATTAATTACATTTTTGCTGGATCAATCACAAAGTATCAATGGTAGTTGAATATGATGTTACGAACGTTTGAGTGTCTCATTGAATTTTCTCTTTAGATCAATCAAATTGTGATGTTCTCAATTTTGAAAATGAGTCCGACTGCTCATTTTTCAGTTATCTTATTCAATCGCAATATTTTTCAGAGAATGGCATTGACATTAATCATAATCGATCTCTTGAAGGTAATATTCAACGAGATTTATCGAATGATATAACTGTCTAACTTCACTGATCACGCTTATACCAGATGCTATTTTTTTCAAGAGGAAAACAGCTGACTCCTAGGGACTCCAACCTAGGATTATCATTTTCTTGTTAATGTGAAGTAAATATAAAAATTAAATTAAAAGTACAGATAAGTTGACACCAGTAACTTCAACTGACCCCGAGTGATTTCACTGATTCCAACTGACGCAAATGCTACAGAGTCAGCTGCTTTAGAGTATTTTTCACTAAGCTGAAGAATGATTTATTGGACTTGCTTTGATCTTAAGCGACGATCTTCGCTACACTTATTACGTCGTATAATGGGTCAAACAAGACTTAGAGTTCAGAATTTCACATTTGCTTTAAAACTAAAGTCCATCGTCCAAAAAAAGAAAGGGAAAAAAAGTCACATAGTCATGAATCCAAAAATTTGGAAGTCCAGCTTGCAAGAAAGAAAACTGGATCTTAGTAGACTTGAGGACTTCAAGTTTAAGTTAAAAAAAATTAATTTTGAATTCGAAAATTCGAAGTAACGTGTCGATCTCTTTGTTGTGATCGATTAGGCAGAAGCTTAATTTTCGTACCATTTTCACTTCAACGCTCATTGAGCTTTGAGATGATTTTAAACAGTGGTTGTTGACGTTTCAAAGATTCGTCAATCAAACAAAATAGTACTCGGTACTTTTTTTTTCTACTATAATCTTGGATCTTAATCTGATGTTTGAGATTTAAAAAAAAGTCGACAAATCATTCAATCGTTTGATCGCTCAAGCAATAGATCAGTCGATGACAGCAGGGGCGAAAGGTTATTTTTACTAATTGTTTTTAATAACAATTAGTAACAATAACTTATCACCTATAGTTTACAGAAAGTAGTTTACCATGCCTTTTTTTAATTTTTGAAGAGGCTCAGTATGTCTTTTCTCGTATCTATAGAGTCTATGGAGGGAGAGCTGAGATCTTGTAGCCTCCACTAGGCTCCACCTTGGCTATACCACTACTAGACACCCATTGTTGAATATCAGGAAGAAATTCGTTGTTAGATCGATGTCAGTTATATTAAAGCCGAGTACATTTGAGCTTTTTTCTTCAAATTGGGAAAAAATTGTAACAATCTTTGAAAAACCAGTATCTTCCTTTGATACATATGACTATCGTCTAGCGGCATAACCAGGATTTCGTCTCTCCTGAGGCTTAGCCTCAGTCGCCTCAATAGTGGTTATGCCGCCACTATCGTCCAAAAATACAAATTATCGCCTTGTCTATTATCGATAAGAAGTGTATTATTGCAATTAATGACTTCGTTGTATAGGAGTTGAATCAGAAGTGAAGATGTGACACTCAGAAGAGTCTTACATTAGAACACTGCAAAGTCACCTTTTTTTTTTAGTCCCAGTCCCGAAACAAAAAGCATCTTTTGACAAAAATCCTTTCTACTTTGTTTCACGAGTATGGATATGTATTCTGTTTTGAGTGATGGGTGATTTCGCTTATGTTGCAGCAAGCCAGCTTGTACCTACAAGAGCGAATTTACTGTTTGAGCTCTCGGTCATATATACGAAGATGAAAATTCGTGACTTTTCTGGATTAACATTTTTCAGAGCTGGTCCTGATGGTCTCTATCTTACATCGATACATTTCATTGTTTCATTTTTATTTACTTTTTTTTTAATGTCAGATGCAAGCGATGGTACTTGTATCAATACTACAATAGACAATCTGACAAGACAATATGAACAGAGCCAGTTAGTAACTAGTCAAAAGAAGTGTATTGTTCTTAAATATATCGGTAAAATGCATCTGATTGATGATACATGGAATAAAAGCAATGAAAATGTTGTTGAAAGACGACATTTGGCTTGTCAACAACGTCATGGTATCCTATTCTCCGTGGCTCGTGTTGAAAACGTGATTGAAAAAGATCTAGTAGGATCAACAACTCCAAACAAACGTCAACTCTATCGTAGTACTAGTGAAGAATCGCTTCATTCAAAATTTTATCACTGTCCGCTAAAGTCAAATCGAAATAGTTGCATGATAAAACAAATATTACTCAAGAACGTAGATGATTTTAAGACGAAATCAAATTTGATCACTCAAGATAATTCTAGTACAGAATCGTCACATATTCAAATTCAAAAACTGATGGATACAATTAAAGAAAAAGATACACAAATTGCACATCTAAATCAACAATACGATCAAATGCGTATCGCACAATTGGGTGTTTTACAGCAAGTTAACAAAATCGTAAATCGTATAATCAATATTAAACAACAATACGATATAAAGCAAGATGAAATCGAACAAATTAAAAAAGAATTGGATTTCATTCTAGAACATCTTGACAATGCTAAATTAGACGTACAAATAATCAGACCAGTCATATCTTCGAATGGCGAATCATATTATCGTTCAATTTCTGAAAATATGGACACTTCTATGCAAATGAAATGTTGCTCAATCGAATACGATATTCCTGATAGAACATTAGAAAATAAAAATCAATTATTAGAAAATCAATTGCAACAACACATGCATCAGTTCAAAATAGGAAAGAAAGATAAAATGACAAATTATCGGAATGCAAACGAAGAAAAAACAGAAGACAACTTTCAAATCAAATCAGAAGTTGACATAAATGATCATAAATATGAAGATGATATTCACATTAGTGGAATCAATCAATCGAACGAAAAAGTTCAATTAAAATTGCCATATTTACTTCGAACTGATTCAATTGATGCACCATGCACTGCAGCCGAGGGATTGATAAATGACAGTGCTCTCGATGCACTGAATCGATGGTTGGAGACTCAAACTGCGGAGAGACGTGTGGCTTGGGCATTATGCGAGTTACCGGGTGCCTATGCCCTATCATCAAGTTTTGGTGCCCAAGCTGCAGCTTCGCTACACTTATTGACGGCGCAGAAACCTGATATTCCAGTGCTACTCGTGGATACAGGTTACCTTTTTCCTGAGACCTATCGTTTCATTGATCAATTACATGAACGTTTACAGCTGAATCTTAATGTATTGCGTCCAGAGATTTCGGCTGCTTGGTTCGAAGCACGTCACGGTCGTTTATGGGAACAAGGGCTAGATGGAATCGATCTTTACAATCGTCTAGTAAAACTCAAGCCGATGCAACTTGCTCTCGAAGATCTTGGTGTCGAAACTTGGTTCGCTGGTTTGCGTCGCAATCAATCTGAAAGTCGCCAACAAATTCGCATTATCGAACGTCAAAATGGCCGATGGAAAGTATATCCGATAGCTGATTGGACCGATCGCGATGTTGGCATGTATTTAAGGCGACACAATTTGCCATATCATCCACTCTGGGAAAAAGGCTATGTTTCGATCGGCGATGTTCACACTACCCGACCTTGGGAACCTGGCCTACGTCAAGAAGATACTCGTTTCTTCGGCCTAAAACGCGAATGTGGCCTTCATCAACACACTTGATCTTAGGCCAGATTCAATCTGCTGCTTCTTTTGATAGTCTATACCATCGATTTCATACTTAAAAATACGATAATTCCCTATCTTTAAATGATTTCTAACCTTCACAAGACAAAGTAAACCATAAAAAGGAGATTTTCGCAGACTTAATAAAAAATTATTAAATTATTCATACTATGCCTCCTTGTCAATGCATTTTTCTTTTCTATGATATTGACTACAATTTTACTAGTATCATCCTGTTCGTTTTCATAATTGCTATCAAGTAGAATCTTTTCAATATTAATGAATACTTGATCATCTTTGGATCTTGTAGTCTTGCTGAATAAAACGAAAAAAAATAAGATAAGTACACAATTTTTGAAGGCTAATTTATGGCATAAACAGAATTTGGATGGTTTCGTTTGGTTGTAGGAGAAAATCTTAATTTTAGAACACATATATTCGATTGATAACCTTTAACTACGACATGAGCTATTCATATAAACATGATCGAGATAGCTTTAGTATTATGTAAGTAGGTTTTTTGGCCATTTTGACACCTTCTCTCAAAAAAGCAGATATAATAAACGCCGACCTTCTCTCCGGGATTACGTAGGATGTGGCTGTGAGTGGAACTATTTTTTTTCTTTTCCTCCACGCCCACACCCTACTTTCTGTGACAAAGATAAGAAGTAAATGAATGATGACTGCCATCGCACCCATTATCGAAATAACTGACACTGATAATTGGAGCGAACGAGCTCATTTACATCATCAATTAGGCCTCGTTTCGAAGAAGATGGACGATCGAGACAAAGTGCTGTCTCACTATGGGTGTGGGCGTGGGTGTGGATGTGCGTGTGGGTGCAGGTGTGGGTGTGGGTATGGGTGTGTGTGGGTGTGGATGCAGAGAACACTCATAATGACACACACACACCCATACCCACACCCACACCCTTCATTCCATATATCAATAAATGTATTTTTGTTTACTCATCACTTACATTTCTCAGTATGGAGAGTTAACAATTAGACGTATATCTGGATTGTATGCGTCAATAATAGAGATAAATAAATTTACACACATGTATCGGCATCTTCAAGATATAAGACGTAGCCGGGGGCGGCTAGTAAAATATATCTGAAATTCAAATGAGTCGTAGCCAATATACGTTGGATTCTGTCCTTTGTGTACATTTATTGTTTTGTTCTCACACATCTTCACTAACCCAACACATTTATCTATATAACGCCATGATGTCATCTTCATCAAACATTATGTGGAATTGTCCTGAATGTCAAATTACGATAACTGATCGTCAGAAATACTGTAAAACGTGCCAGTCAATGTTAGTTTGGACATGTGTTCCTTCTGGAAAATCTGGTTTATATACTACTTATTATCGATATCGTGACAGATGTAATTATTATACACCTGAACTTGAACCAGAAAGACAACAGACAAAGGAAGAAAAACAGATTTCAAGATTTCAAGAGCTTGAAATATCATATAATGGTAAGCAATAGTGGTACATTTAGTCAGTTTTTGATGTTCCATTCTGTTTTACAGTTCATCTACGTTACATAATAATAAAGCATTAAATTTTTTCTCATATGTGTTCTAGAGCAACGTCCATGGTCCGTGTGGAGTCGCACGGATGAGTCGTGTATACAACATACAGGACATGACATCGAGCAAGTACAACAGCTATTAAGTATGTGTAAACAGTCGCTGTTGGAATATTGTCTGGATAGAAAACAACATACAAACGATAGAAGTATTACATATTTATCACCTATTAATTTACTTTCAGTTACACTATGGTATCTGAAGCATTATCACGTTGAGCGTTATATAGCAGCAGAGTTAAATTTGAATAGATCTACAGTGAATTATTTTTTATTTGCTGTGATAGATATATTATATGCGTTTGTATACCCGAAACTGATTTTATTACCTGATGGTATGGATGATGAAGCTATAGCACACGGATCAGAAAAACATCACAAACTGATCGTTGATTCTACCTTTATTGCAATTTAGCAACCTGAAGATTCTGAACAGCGAAGGATGTATTATCATGCAAAAAGCCCAACAAACTATGCATTCAAAATACAGATCGCTTGTGATTTCAATCATCGAATAGTCCATGTATCCAAATGTTATCAGGGCAGCGTACATGACATTACTATTTTAAGAGAATCAAGATTATTGGACCATACAGAAGAAAATGTACAAACTATTGCCGATAAAGCATATGTAAGTGAACAATATGTTATCACACCAAGAAAAAAACCTCGTGGTGGTGAATTAACAACCGAAGAGAAAGATTTCAATCGATCTATCTCCAGTTCAAGAGCAGCTATTGAAAACATTAACAAACGTATTAAAAAGTATGCTATTTTAGGAAGTGTATACAGAGGTCCTTATGACGATATGGATAAAATTGCTCGTATTGTCGCTGCATTATGTAATCTTAATTTGAGTAAACATCCTATCCGTAAAAATAAACTATGATATATGTTCAGCAACTCCTAATTAATTGTTTCTAACTGATGTTCATTGTTTCTATATCTTTCATTCCAGATAAATATTGCGAATCACAATGAGCAACTCTTATGAGAGAATGTTTTACGAAAGACCTCAGAATGCCATGTTTCTTTCACTTTCAATTAGGTATGTAGTCGAAACTATAGCAGATTATTAGCTCTTTATTAGTACTATAACTGGTAAAAAAATCATAAGTTTTGGTCTATGAATAGAAGTTATACAGTGAAAAATAACTTGGGGTATCCGGCCAGACTGGCCAACCCCATATACATATATATATATATTTCGTGTAACCAGAGTCAGCCGTGATAGAAACAAAAATAGAGAAATCAAAGAGGATTAAATAAGCAGATAATATATCGCAATAAGTCTAGCGTCAATGAGTGACATCTGTTGACGATAACACGATATGCATATAATTGATCGAAAAAGTGCGTATGTTGGTAAAATGTCACGTTCTATTGATCATCGTAAACAAGCATTAGTTGGAAAAAACCTGTAAAAAATCATGACGAATGATAAATAAAATAATCCATTTCGATTACGCATTAAATAGCATCAATATAATCTTGTATCATACCGATGGTGAGTATATGTTTGCTTTTGGTCATATATACCCTATTCAATGATTGAGCAAAAAAAATTATGAGAAGCTGAAAACAACATCAAGAAAGAAGGAGATACAATGGGAACTATTTTGACCATGGATCAGTAGATCGTATTTGTAGTAATTCATAATTGAACATTCTCATCACTAATATAGATAATCGTGATTCAATTGACCTTACACATAATAGACAATAAGAATACAAGAGATAGGAACATAATCCGATAAAAAAGAACGACCATATGATTATTTTCATTTAACTGAGAACTGCGAAAATAAAATACCAGGAATTTTACTCTTTGAAATCTAGCACTGAATTCGTATGTTTTAACTGGGAGTTAAGATACTGCTGAAAATGAAAACCTCGAACGAGATTAAGAAAACCCAATTAATGCTCAGTGATGGAAATGGTTGATTCCAACATAACAAGCTCTAATTCAGATATTCAGAACATTTTTTTCAATGAAAACATAGCCAAATGAGGATTGAGTTAAAGTCATTCAAAGCTAGAGATTTTTCTATTTTCGAGGATGGTGCGAATCTATTAATCCTAGTTTGATACTGGTTCTTGTACATCTCCAGGAGATCATCCAGCAAGAACCGAAAATGATTCATCTTCCATGGCTCCCAAAGCCGGCTCCGCGTAGCAACTGGGACTTTGGACCAAACTTCTACGTTAATGATGTCGAGTATGCATCTTCCCAAGATGCGTGCTGTGCCTGCTGTATTGGTGACTTGACCATATCATCTGGTCCATATCGCTGCAATACACATGCAGACGGATGTTTAGCGTGCGCCGCATGTTGTGGAATATGCATTCCGAATTGTATTGTTGGCCTGCTTTGGGGTTTTGTTAAGACTATCACATGTGGAAAGTTAGGCAGGGCTGGTTGTGTATTCTCTTCAAAGATTTAAAATAAAAGGCATTCTATCAACTAATATCCCTTATCATGCAAAATGTTTTTATCAATGTAATAAAGAATAAAGAAACTAACATAAAATAAATGGGCAAATTAATATAATGAAATAAATTAAAAATTAAAAATTAAATAAAAACAGCTAATATTTTCTCTTTAACGTCATATTTCAGTATCTATTTCGCAGATACCACCATCAGATAGTTACTGCTATGAGCTTGGATATAAGTAGGTACAGTCTGTGACGATGTACTACAGTAGTTATTTTATGAGCAAAATGAAAGTTTACCGATGAGAACAGGATCAGGTTTTATCGTTGCTGCATTTTCTTTTAGTATATGTTGAGGATATTTGGAAAGAGAAGAAGTGCCGAAGTTCTGAGTTTAGTATTGCGGAGTTTACTCGAGTTAGACAGGATCAGTAAGCATTTGTGTTGAAAGTACATAGTGACTCAAGGAAAGAAATGGTTATGTTTCAGTTGATGCGTGTATTTGCAGATATGTGGTAGAAGGGGAGTGATCGATATATGTATGTGTTTCTGATGTCGTATCAGTGACTCATAGTTTTTCTTTTTTTTTCATTGTTATGTGGAGAGATATAGATGGAAGCGTATGTTCTTTGTCAGTTACTCACGATTCGTTATAGGGATGGGCTTATCAGAAAGATTTCGTTGTTTATATTGTTTTTCAGTTTTTCGTTTTAGTCTGTCAGCATAAATATAGGGTGGCATCGATCTGATTCCCTTATTCAGTTCTGGTCTTTTTTTGTTGTCTTCATAGAGATTCTTTGATCGATAGTTTATATTTATATCTCTCTTTTAGTCGAATAACGAAGTCATTACTAGTAAATGTATGGCCTGTCGTATAGTAATGTTTGGCTATGGCGGTTTTCGGTACAGGTTGTTTTGTTTGTTTTTGTAGTATTTCCAGAACTTTCACGAGTTTGACGATTTCTTGTTAGATGCATTGAACTGTTAGAGTTGGTAATTTTCCTGTTTTCAAACAATTACAATCATTTACATTAATTCGTATAGATCGCGATTCTTTAAAACTAATCTTAACCAGTTTACATAAACTTCATCAGCTACGTTCTCTTTCAATTAATATTGACTCACTTAGTCATATTCAAAACCAATTAATAAACTCACAATTGATCAATCTAAAGTTGAGAACATGTTCAATTGATGAACTAGAAACTTCTGTGCAACATCTTGCAAAACTTAACTCATTAGATGTCTGTTTAAATGTAAATCGATCAAACTTTATCCGTGATTTACTATGCAAACAACTCATTCGATTAAATATAAAAATTCAAAGTAAATAATAAAGAGTATTATTGCATGAGATAATTGCATTTGTATTCTATTTTGTGACATATATAGAATATTGTATGACGATTAATAAAATCAAGCAATTCTTAATGAAATTGTCCTATTTAAAGCATTTTGAATTACAAGCTGCTGCTCCAAGCCAACTTCAAGATAAATATCAATGGAAAAAATTGGCGAGCTCTATCAATACTTTCAATTTTTATTTCAATTTCGAAATTATGTTAAGCGAAAACATTCTTCTACCCTTCGGCACACTGTTTTGACTGAAAGAAAAGCGTTGGTTTGTAGCATATCAAGATTATTCCTTGTTTTCCATACCTCGATTTACACCAAATGCTATTGACATTTCTCGACTATTACGTATTCAATGATCAGCAACTAGTAGAATACTTATATATGATGATAATGTTAAGAAAATTGTGATCTCAAAAAAAATTAGAGACAAGTCTTATTTTACTAATATTAAGCTCCCCTCCTCAAAAAAGTCACTTTTCGTCAGAATCATTAAAATTAAGGTAAATACATAGGAAGAAAGCCTGTCATTTGCTCTTATATAAACGATAAAAATTTTTCTTCGATACCTCCTTTTTTCCGAAAAACATTCAAGATTTTTGACAATCCCTATTCAAAAAACAAGCGGTTTTTGAAAAATCCAAAAATCTTTTTCTTTTTTTCTCAAAGTGCTAGTCAAACGACGCATCTTCAGTGAAAGTCAATTATAATGCGATATAACGTCAAATATTTTTGTTTGTTTGAAAGATCATCAAAAACTGCGATGCCTATGAGGGGCCTTTTTGTGTACTCAAAAAGTGAGTACACTCTAGAATCGGTCAGTGTGTCCGGCCGTTTACACGATAACTGTTGAAAAGAGAGTCCAATCGCGATGAAATTTTCTACATAGTTTAGTTTCAACAATATCTCGGTCGCGTTCGAAGATGAAAATGATTGGCCGAGCGGTTCCTGAGTTATTCCAAAAATAGTTATTTTTCCTTATGCCTTGCTATGCGAAAATCAACCCCTCTCCGCTTTCGTAAACAACTTTTCCTATCACAGTCAAATAAAACCCTAACTATTATATACCATTCGATAGAGAATTTCGCGACCTACAAAATGGAATATAAAACATAAAGAAACGAGAAGGCTAACTTCTCTAATGCAAAGATAATTAAACGGAAATTGGTTCTGTTTTTGTCCACGCTCTGATTAATCCACAACTAGAGCTCTATCTTCCGATCACAGACGTGATACTTCGAGGTTTTCTAGGGCGGAGAACTTGGGTGTGTGTGGCTGTGGCTGTGGCGTGGATGAAGAAAAGACCCATACCCACATCCACACCCACACCCACATCCCACACCCCACACCCCACACCCACAACCCATACCCAAAACCACACCCCACACCTACACCTACATCCACACCCTAGTTAGCCAACTTTAAGCAATCTGAATTTAACATAGTCTTATACCCA